TGCGGTTTGGCTGGGCTGGACTCGGCTCGGCTCGGTTCGGCTCGGCTGGGTTCGGCTCGGCTCGGCTGGGTTCGGCCGTGGCCCCCCCTTGCCGGGCCCTCCCCCTGCCCCGCCCCGCCGGGACCGGGCGGATGCGCCGCCTCCAGTTTCGATTCCCGAGCGGTCCCGGCTGCGGGGAATGGAGCTCTGGGGGTACCAGCGGGAGGCGGCGGCCCCGGCCCTGCTCGGCCGCAACAGCATCGTTTGTCTGCCCACGGGCGCCGGGAAGACCCGAGTGGCCGTCCACGTGTGCCGGCGGCACCTGGAGAGCCGGCGGGGCGGAAAGGTGGCCGTGCTTGTCAACAAGGTACTGCCCTGCCCCAGCACCGCGGGAGCCTCGGCGGGGATCCCGGCCGCTGCTGAGGGTGCTCCTGTGGGCGCAGGTACACCTGGTGGACCAGCACAGCGAGAAGGAGTTCCACGCACTGCAGGACACCTTTAAGGTGGCGTCCGTCAGTGGGGACACCAGCCACAAAACCTTCTTTGCCATGCTGGTGAAGAAGAGCGACGTTGTCATCTGCACAGCCCAGATTCTGCAGAACGCCCTGGTCAGCACGGAGGAGGACATGCACGTGGAGCTGACAGGTAGGCACCACACCACATGTACTGCTGGCCCCACGGCTGTGGCTGAGCCCCCAAGCTGAGCAACCGTCTCACCCCGCTCCCCTCCCTGGCCCGGAGCAGATTTCTCACTGCTGGTGATAGACGAGTGCCACCACACACACAAGGACGCCGTCTACAACAAGATCATGCTGAGATACCTTCAGCGCAAGCTCAGCGGGGAGCAGGACCTGCCACAGGTCCTGGGGCTGACGGCATCCCCTGGCACTGGGGGGGCAACATCCTTTGAGGGGGCCGTAGAGCACATCCTGCAGGTGCGTCCTGTGCCCCGTCCTGCTTCAGCACAGCTCGCCTTGGGGTTCAGCAGGGTGTCCCTTGGGATGGGGACAGGTGTGTGGGTGCTGGGCAGTCCAAAGGTGTCATCCCCAAACTCACCAGGTTGCCAGCGAGCACCACGCACAGCATTGTCCTGGGCAGCTGGGCTCAGGGTGGAAGCAGGGTCTTTCCCTCTCAGATCTGTGCCAACCTGGACACTGAGAAGATCACACTGGTGCAGGACGAGGTGCAGCACCTGCAGAGCCATATCCCCCAACCCAAGAAGCAGTATGACCTGTGCCAGGAGAGAGAGCAGGTGAGGGATGGCTGCTCAGAGCCATGGGGTTACTCACTGGGTGGGAGATGAGACCCCCAAACCCTGCTGGGTGAGGGGCTGTGTCCCTTCATCCGCTTCACTCAGGCCAGCGTGAAAAATCAGTTAACCCAGAGCTTTGGTGCTGGGGGATCCTGCAACTGTCTGGGTCCTGCCATGCAAGCAGCCACAATTCCCGGGTCCTGAGCCCCTCCCTGCTCCCAGGACCCCTTTGGTGAGCAGCTGAAGAAGGTGATGGTGCAGATCCAGCAGTTCATGGAGAAGCCGGATCTCCCGCAGAACTTCGGCACGCAGATTTACGAGCAGCGCATTGTGGAGCTGGAGAAGAGAGGTGAGGGTGTGGCAGTGCGGGTGTGGCAGGGCTGAGCCGCGGGTTCAGGCTGTGATTGCGGTGTCCCCTGGCCCCTCCAGCTGCAGAGATGTTTTGTCGCAAGACGCGGGTGTGCGCCCTTCACCTGCGCAAATACAACGACGCTTTGCTGATCAGTGACGCCGTGCGGATGGTGGACGCCTTCCAGTGCCTCCAGCAGTTCTACAGCGCTGAGAAGGATAAGAAGGGCCCCACCGAACAGTTCCTCACTGCCATGTTTGAGGGTAACAGAGGGGCCTGGAGGGGGGTGATACTGGCTGCATTTTGGGGGCAGGGAGTGTCCCTGACACCCCGCTCACCTGTGCAGAGAACAGGGCGAGCCTGCAGGCACTTGCCGGGGACCACCGCTATGAGAACCCCAGGCTGGGCAAGCTGGAGGAGATCCTGCGTGAGCACTTTCAGCCCCTGGGAACTTCTCGTGGCATCGTCTTCACCCAGACAAGGCAGAGTGCCCACAGCCTGCTCAGCTGGCTGCAGACCACAGCCACGCTCCACAGGCAACACATCAGAGCTGCTGTCCTCACCGGCGCTGGCTACAGCAACCAGACCAGGCACATGACACAGGCGAGTGGAGGAAGGAACTGGGCTGACCCCACTCGGCACATTTTGGGGTGCTGCGGATGCTGCCCAGGTCTCAGAACCCTACACAGCTGCTGAAGCATCACCCCTCTGTCTACCCAGAATGAGCAGCAGAATGTGATCAAGCAGTTCCGTGAGGGAGCCCTCAACCTTCTCTTCTCTACCAGTGTGGCCGAGGAGGGCCTGGACATCCCCGAGTGCAACATTGTGGTCCGCTATGGGCTGATGACCAATGAGATCGCCATGATGCAGGTGCTGCCCCGGCTCCCTCTGGCCCTGCCAGGATCCCCCAAAGCTGAAGGGGTGGGACACGGGGGCTCTTGCATTCCCTGCAGGCAGCTCCCTGGGGATGAGCCCAGCAGAACATCTCCTTGGCAAGGCACAGGGGAGGGTGGAGGTGGCTCCATCCTCACAGGGTAGCACAGAAGTCTTGGCTGTGTCCCTCTTCTACTGACTGCAACATTTGGACCTTGCCCTGCAGGCCCGGGGCCGTGCCCGTGCTGAGAACAGCGTCTACTCGGTCCTTGCCAAAGCCAACAGCAGAGAAGTGACCCGAGAGCTGCTCAATGAGGACCTGGTGGAGCTCATGAAGAGGGCGATTCAGGCAGTGCAAGCCATGCCTGAGCAGGATTACTGCCAAAAGGTGGATACTGGGTGCTGCTGTGGGCACTGGCAGGGCCAGGCAGCTCTTGCTCCCCTCTGCACCCTGCATTTGGCTGCCTGCTCTGTCTCGGGGAAGCACCAGATCCTGGCATGGGGTTGTGTGAGGGGCACAGGGCAGTGTGTGCCCATCCTGCCCTGTGGCTTGTGCTCCTGGGATGACACATCCCTCGGTAGCCGTGGATTTGCCGTGTCTGCCATCTGTCCCTGCCCTGCAGTCCTGTCCTGACCCCTGTCCCCCCCAGATCCAGGAGCTGCAGCGGGTGGCCGTGGCCAGCTGGCTGATGAAGGAGGCCAGGATCAGCAAGCAGCGGCAGCTGCACGACCCGGACGCTGTTCGCCTGTACTGCGTCAACTGCAACACGGCCGTGTGCCGCGGCAGCGACATCCGCACCGTGGAGGGCATGCACCACGTCAACATCAACCCCAAATTTGGGTAGGAGTCTCACATGGGCAGCGGTGAGCAGGCAGATGGGTGAGGGTAGCACCAGCCTGCTGCCAGCTCTTTCTCAGGGACCTTGGTACAGGGAGATTGCAGGAACTTTGTTGGACTACGGGAGCACCTGTGCTGCCCTGTTTGTGTCCCCTGGACCATCATCCTTAGTGTCTGGTGACCATTTCCTTCCAGGTCGTATTACAGAGTTTCCTCTGGGAAAATACAGTTCCAGCGTACTTTCAAGGACTGGGAGCCCGGCTGCTGTATCTCCTGCAAAGCCTGCAGCCAGGTGAGCTCCACAATTCCCCTGTGTCTGCAGCCCAGTCAGAGCAGGAGGGACAGGAAGGGCTGTGCCTTGTGCCCCAGCTCTCAGCTGCACATGCGTGTGTCATGTGTGTGCTGTGGGACGTGGACATGGGCTGTCTCCAGAGGAAGGACATTCCTTGGGAGCACGAGCTGTCCCATCCCTGTGTGCGTGGCCCTGGGGATGCTGTGTGTGTGTAACTGTCCCCTCCCTGCCCACACAGAACTGGGGGATGGAGATGCTGTACCGGCAGGTGAAGCTGCCTATCCTCTGCATCAAAAACTTCGTGGTGGAGACACCAGAAGAGAAGAGGAGGTACAAGAAGTGGGGCTCTGTGACGTTCCCCATCAAGGCGTTTGACTACCTGGAGTACTGCTCTGACACCTGCAGCCTGTCCTTCTAGCACAGGCTCTGTTCAGAACAGGAATATTCACAGGGCACTTCCAGGGTGCTACATGAACAGAGGAGGCTTCCTTGACCCTTGGACAGAGAGCCACGGCTCACTCCTCTCCTCCTCACTGGTCTGAGCCCTAGCAGCGTGTCCCTAGCTGGAGCCCATGGCTGCTGAAGGGGCTTTGCTGCACCCACGTAGAAAGGATGAGATGCTGGGATGGAAAATCATCCAAACCCTTCCTTGCTCCCCATGCTGCTGCCTTCTCAACCGTGCCAGGGGAGCCATCTGTTTCTGTGGGTCCAGGACAGTGCTTCTCCACCCTGATTTAAGAATTTGATGGGTCTCCATTAAAAACACAGATGCTGGACTGAAGGGGCAGGGTGGCCGCATGACTCGTGGCAAGAGCTGGCTGGGCTGAGGCTGCGAGGGGGGACATGGCCCTAGAGCCAGAACCCACTGTACCCTGAGCCAGCAGAACAGGGGTCTCCAGGGGACAGTGGGGTCTGTGAGGCTGTCCCGGCTCTATCCGACCCGCAGACAGTGGCCTGAGCGACCCATCCCACCCAGCCACCCAAGGCCGAACCTTCCCGAGGTGCAGAACGAGCCTAAACCCCTCTGGGGCAGCCCCTTGGGTCCCCTCGGGATCACCTGGGAGCGCCCTGGGTTTTGCGTCCGAGCTTCGGGGGAGCCGCGGGGCTTGCGGGGGGCTCGGGACCGGGACCGGGCTGGGGCACAGGACCGGGCCGGCTTCGGGATTCGGTACCGGGAGCGCCCACGCTGCCCCGGCCGCGGCCGCTGGAGGGAGCCCCGGGCCGGGCTGGGGAGAGCGGGGAACCGGGAAACGATCCCGGGGGAACCGGGAGTGTTCGGGGAACCGGGAAACGATCCCGGGGGAACCGGGAGTGTTCGGGGAACCGGGAAACGATCCCGGGGGAACCGGGAGTGTTCGGGGAACCGAGAAACGATCCCGGGGGAACCGGGAAACGATCCCGGGGGAACCGGGAGTGTTCGGGGAACCGGGAAACGATCCCGGGGGAACCGGGAGTGTTCGGGGAACCGGGAAACGATCCCGGGGGAACCGGGAGTGTTCGGGGAACCGAGAAACGATCCCGGGGGAACCGGGAAACGATCCCGGGGGAACCGGGAGTGTTCGGGGAACCGGGAAACGATCCCGGGGGAACCGGGAGTGTTCGGGGAACCGAGAAACGATCCCGGGGGACCGGGGGATGTTCAGGGAACCGGGGGATGCCTGGGGAACCGGGAGATGATCCGGCGGGGGCCGGGGGATGCTCCGGTGGGTACAGGGGGCTGCAGCTGCCGCTCCACGCGTGTCCCTGCCCCCCGGGATCCTGCCACACTCGTTGGTGCTGGCCCGGGGAACCCCCCCCGCCCCCCGGTAAGCAGCGCTGGTGCTCGGCAGGTCCCGGTGGGGAGGAGCTGCAGAAGGGCGAGGACACGAGCAGGGAACGGAGTCCTGCTCCTGCCTGACTTTGGTACCAGAGGCTCCCGCGGTGTCAGGCACACACAGCCCGCCTTCAGGTGGAGATGGCCCTGGGGAAACCAAGCTCCTTTTCATCGGAAACTGGGTAATGAGGCCATTTGAGTTATTTGTAGCTCCTTGTGGGCTGGGATGGCCTCTCCTCCCACTCCCTAGGCAGGATCCCTTCCCCAGAGACCCCAGACTGTTTTGCTCAGCTCAAATTGCCCTGATTTGTGCTTGGAGAATTGAGGTTGTGAGTTAGCCCAGTGGGTGCCCACAGCACTGGGTGCTGCAACCTCTCCCCAGCCCTGGTAGATCTGTCTGTCAGCTTGGGTGCCCCAAACCAGAATTCCTGTAACAAAACTTCCCCCTTTTTGAGGGGGTGCAGCTGACTCCATGGGATACGGGGCCAGGACAGCACTGTGAGTCTCTGTGGGTTTTGCAAGTGGGTCTGTATCCAGCTTCTGCTTGTTTTTCCCTCTGTGTCCCTGGTTTAACATCAGCCACATCGGATTTCTCCTTCCCAGGGGCTCGGTCACCTTGGGCCTGGCGGCAGGGAGCAGCCGAGCTGCAGTGATCAGCGCTGTGACCTTGGTCAGTGTCCTTCAGGGCTGGCATCCCTCAGAGCCTGCATCCTTCTGAGCCAGCATCCTTCAGGACCGGCATCCTTCAGAGCCAGCCTCCTGTGGCCAAATCCCCAGGCTGGAAGAAGTCTGTGGCTCGAAGCACCTTTGCTTATCTCAGCTCCCCAGAGTCCTTACGTTCCGGCCATCACGACTGGCTGTCTGTAAGCAGAGATGGGCAGCATTAGCCCGGCAGCAAACAGCTGCTGCAGCAAGTTCTGCTGGCACAAGCAGCATGGTTTGCCCCTGGCCCACAGGCTGCCAGCACGGGAGCAGCCCCAGGAACGCCTGTGGCCTCCTGCCCCAGCACTCCCGTGCCCCCGGCAGCAGGGTGTGCTCACAGAGTCAGGGCAATGCAGCAATTTATTCTTCACAGCTCATTTCATTTGTCATCAGTGCGTCAGAAAGCACCGATTCCCCTCCCAAGGCACCAGCTGGAAAACCTCCGGCTCCTCCACCTGGCAGTGCCTCAGGTCAGCCCTTTCCCCAGGCTGGTGTTTAGCGGGACTTAGTGCTCAGCCTGTTCGACTTATCGGGAAGGAGCCTGAGATGTGATTTGATTACAGCATGCAAGCATCTTCCTGGGGAGAAAACTGCTGGGTATTAAAGGGCTCTTTAACTTGGCAGAGAGAGGAATAATGAGAACTGGGGCTGAAAGATAAAGTCAGGCAGATTGAAATTTGAAATCCAGGGCAGGTCTGCAGCAAGGAGGGCACAAAGCAGGACCTCAGGCACCTTTCTCAAAGAGATGCCTGGTGCTGAGGGTCCTGCCCTGTGGGTGGCTCCATCCTGCTTCATGGTTTCGGCTCAGGCAGCAGCAGGATGAGCAGCAAGAGTCCAGTGGCATCCTGGGTGAGGGGGATGGGAACTGAATTTTGCTTCCCAGGCACATTTGAAAATCTGGCTATTGCACAGTATCTCTTCCAGAGCCTGGGAGCACATCAGACCCCGAGGTGACCTTTCCCGGGACAGCTGGATTTTCCCTCTCTGTACCAGGGGAAATTCCATCCTTCAGAAAAGTGCTTGCAGTGGAGGAATTGGATGCCCAAACCCAGAAGCCCTCTCCCCATTTTGTTCCTGCATCTCCTTTTCTCCACTGCCGGGAGCTCACGGGAGCCCACAAAGCGTGCGGGGGTTCCCTGTCCCACCCGGCCCCGCCGGGAGTTAATCCTGACTGTTCGCATGTCAGGATGCTGCTGGATTAAACAAGGGGATTAGCATCAAACAATTTCCCTGGCGCCCCGAGCGGGAGGCAGGAAATATAATCACTGCAGGTTTATTCTGCTTAGGTTCAAACAGCTCCCCAGCATGCAGCGTGATATTCCGGCCGGGCCGGTGGCACCGCCAGGCACCTGCCCAGGCCAGGGTGGGAGCACCGGGATGAGGCTGGCACCACCAGGGCTGCTCGTGCCGGGGGGATCAGGGAGGTGTCCTGCTGTGTGGCACTCGGGTGGCACTCGGGTGCCTGCTGAAGCCTGTGCCCCCTGTGGGTCCCACCAGCCCAACCATGGCCAGTGCAGAGGAGCCGTCCTGGCTCGGGGAAAGGGCTGCACCCTTCGCTGGGGTACCCAGGAGGGTACAAAAGCCAGCACTCGGGAGACTCCAGTCCCCCACAGTCACCGAGCCCCCCAGCACCGTCCTTCTGGCTGCTCCTGCTAGCCTGGGCTCAGCTGTGGATGGCAGAGGATGGAACAGCCTCAGGGATGTAAAGGCAAATCTCTTTTCCCAACAGCTCCTGGGTTCCTGAGCCAGGGAATGGTGATGCTGCTCTGATCTGATGGCAGCAATGCAGCTTTCATCCCAAGCTTTGTGCCCACCTGGGTCCCAGGGTCCTCTGTCAGCACTGGGGCACAACCCTGTGCTCTCAGCCGCTTAGAAAAAGTAAAACAAACCCCCTAAACCTGGGGTTTTGATGGAACAAGCTCGTGCAGCACTGGCTGGGGCACAACAGCCCTATGCCTGGCAAGGAGACTGGACTTCTCTTCAGACCAGTGCACTGTGGGAGCAGCTGGGCTCACATCCCTATGGCCTCGCTGGCCCAGATATTTTGGTCCCTGGAGGTTTCTTGGCTGCTTTCCTCTGAGGAGCATCCCCAGGGCAGCCAAGTCCCTGGTCAGCTGAGAACAGGACCATGACACGTGCCCACCTTGTTTTTCTAGGAAAGGGCTAAAAATACCATTCCAGGGCTGTGTGGAAGGGCCTGGGCCAATCCTCACTACTGGGAGTCAAGTGATTTACAGCCCTGTGCATGATCCCAGCGACTGTGCAGGGGCAGGGACAGTCCCTAGGCCAGGGCACGTCTCTGTGGGGCAGAAGAGCAGAGGGGCTGCAGGTCCTGCCTTCCTCAGCGCTGCTGGGGGTGGCCACTCTCCTTTCTTGCCATTTTTAGGTGACTGTGTTTGGGCTGGGCATTGGCAGGATGTGGCAGGGGGGATGCAGCACGGTGGGGTAAGAGCCAGGGACAGCTGGCAGGTGCTGCCACAGTCTGGGGCCTCCCAGGACCCCTGGCACGAGCTGCGATATCTGAAAACTCCCAAACAAAATTTCATGCACTAAATCTTAGGGCTGCAATTCTGCTGAGACCTGGCTTTATAATTGGATCTGTCAGAAACCCGTCACACTTAATGTGCAGCTGCCAGCATGCGTGCAACTCCTCAGCGACTGCGCTGCCTCTGCTGGGCACCGGCAAATCTGGTCCTGGGATTTTCCAGCTTGAGGAAAGGTCTAGTTCATACCTAAATCTCTAACCCTGGGAGGAGGACAGCCCTAGTTTTAACTCGAGGTGCCTCAATTTCCCTCTGTGCCAGGGAAGGCAGTGGGATGGGGACGATGCTGGCGAGGCATGAGAGCCCAGCATACGCGTGTGTTCTTCACCTGAGTAATCAAACTCGTTATGCAGTGTTTGATTAAAGGCCACAAAACATATTATCTTTGATTCTTCCACTTTATTTTTGTTGCCTTCATTTGTCCCTTGGAGATGAGAGTTGTTCTGGTACGCATTAGTCACAAAGCCCCAACCTCGCGCTGCGTTCCTGCTATCTGAGAAATGAATTATTAATGGTGCATTAAACAGAGACTGGAAAGGGGCCCTGGGACACTGATAATCAGGAGCTAATTGAGGAAGAAATGAGATACTGCTCCCGTTGCAGAACGAGGACTGTGCAGCGCTGCGATACCAAAGGTGACCCTGCTAAAATTCCTGGGCCAACTGCGCCCGGCTCTGCCTGCTCAGCCCTCGCTGGTGGGTCATGTGTGCACCTGGCAAGGATGTTCTCCCTGGCTGGGATGTTCTCCCTGGCTGGGATATTTTCCTTGGCTGGGATGTTCTCCCTGGCTGGGATGCTCTGCCCTGGCCAGGATGTTCTCTGTGACAGGGATGTTCTTCCTGACAGGAATTCTCTCTCAGGCATCAGAAAGAAATCAGACAAATGCATTCATGGCCCTGGAAAGCTGCTGTATCCCAGATTTTGATGGC